CCAACTTGTTCTAGCGTTGGCGATAGTCCTGCTCCGAGTGTTGATCTAATGCTGGCCCCGTGCACAGAGTCCGATGAGATGAGTTTAAGAAGTGCCCTCCAAACAGTATTACCACGACTCTGTGATTTCACAAGAGAAGTGAGGCTCATATTGTGGCAAACAATATGAACTTAATCCTCCTTCAACACTAATAATACAATTCGGACTATTAAAAAAATCCATTTTAAATTTACAGGGGTGTACTAAAGGATTACATTTAACATTAGGCACGGGTTTGTACCTTGTCTCCATCTTATTTAAGGTTGTATTGATTTTTTTACATAAAAATTCATTGAAACAGGTGTGATGTAGACAGATGCCAAGCCGGACTTCTTTGTGGGTGATATGTGTATTATTAATAAATCAGTTGGAGATATGCATCAGAAGCCAGATGGTATTGCAAATTCTGGCAAGCAAGCAGAACTTGTTAATAAATACATGACAAGTTATGAAGAATAACATATCTACTCAGATATGTATTTATTTGGAAGCAGTCTCTAATACCCTGATTAAATTCGCTTTAGATTAGGATTACAGCTTTATGACTGTTAAGGTATTCAGAATATACAAAGCAATGAGAAATGGTTTATGCCAAAATGGAGATCTTCAGAAGAAAAATCTTAGTCTGTTTACATTAGAGTCTCAGGGAAAAAAAAATAAGACTTTCCAGGGCAGGATGGATTCTGTGTAGAATAATCAAGGTAAAATGGACTGCTGGGCTGAGGAACAAAGCGCTGCTTTTCTTACTGTGGGCAGCCGGACTGTTGCAAGTAATCCCACATGTAGACAGTGCAACAGCAACAACTGAAGCATTTCTAGGATGCTGATAAAAGGCTTTTCAGCCAAGTTTATTCCTTTGTTCTCCTGGAACAAGAGGCCAAAAGCAAATTTCAAGACACGCTGAAGTGCCATCTTTATACCTGAATATCAAAGATTTCAATGAATGCTCCTGGGACAAGGCTGACTCATGCTATGTGACCTCCTGAGCATCTGACCGGTGTAGGAAGAATGGTGCTGTTGTAAATGAAAAGGGAACTCGGTCCTTTTCTGTGTGCTCCTTTCATTGCTGCCTTTAAAAGCTGGACGAAGAGACAAGATTTGAAAATATAATGTGTCTGAACTTCCCAGGTGTTAGGTCAACTTTCCCAGCCCTGCAATACTTCTCAGAATGCCTGCATAGGTCAAAATGCCTGTTTTTGAAGAGGGAAAACTGTGGTATAGGGACATGGAGCACTTCTCCATAGCTGATGCAGACAGACCCAAGCACTCTCTGGAGGTCTGAGCCACCCCAAGATGAGCAGCTCTGATTCAGAGATCATGTAATGGTAATGGTACCACATTAGCATGGTACCAGTGCAGAGGACAGTGGCCTATTCATGATGTGTGGCATCAGCCTCAGACATCTGTGCCACTTTTAGACTAGAGCCAACTTGAAATACAGGGAGCAATGCTCGTTTCTGGCTGTCCCCATCAGGTAAGAATGTGACATGCCAAAGACTACACCAGAGCCTCTACTTGGTGTCTGAAATCCTAAACTACCTCTCTTCACTCTCCTGTCTGCTAACGAGAAGGATTTACCAAACACCATAAGCTATTAAGCGAATGGAATATAGGTAACTCACGAGTTTAAGTGTTTTTGCTAAGTAAGGACATTTGAAACTCTGTCCTAGAAGCCTCACCAAAGGGATTCACTTGTCTGCTTCTTCTGCACTACTGCAAGTGTACTGGCACCCAGAGGGTATCACACAGCCTCTTCACTGCTGGTTATTCTGGTGAGAATCAAACTCATTGAAATAGTTAAAATGATTACTCCCATGTGCTTGTTTGCTCACACGTACAGTAGCTATAAAATCAGACCCTGGAAACAAAGAATTTTTGCCCGTGGAATTGATTTGCATGTTATAATAAAGGCATTTCTCATGTATTTTAGTAGAGATGGGGGCTGAATACATGTGCCTGTTGTCAGAGCTTTGCTTTATGTTAAGACAGCCCTGCATTGTGCACTTCATAATGAATTCCAGAAAACACAGCTTCTTATTGTTGCCGGTTATTGGGGGCTCACTCTGCTAATGAGATATGTAAATATCTTTCATTAACATTAATGGCGATTGTGTGCTTGGCCCCTGAGGAGAACAGTGCTTTCTGTCTGGCTACGGCCGTTATGACAAAAATGCTATTACAGTTACTGCAAAAATTTGCCTTTATGATGTTGGTTGTCTGGACAGATTTGGTATCATTTACGGAATGATCCCTATACCCCTTTGACCTGTTTATTTCCTTGCTTTGGACTGCTACAATAAACGCTTAAACACCTTTTTATACCCACAGCATCAAAAAGCAGAGAAAGGGGCTGGGTGCTAAATTCTGTTAAGTACAGGCAAAACATATAAACTCAGGCTTAATCCATAAGTGTATGCTTCACTTTAAGCCACCCAACTGAAATCAGTGAGACTTCTTGAACTATTAAGCAATTTGCAGTTGTTTTACCCGACTTCATGCACAGGCTGTTGTCACTGCCTGACCAGGGACCACAGGGGTGGGCACTGTACACTACCGAACTCTGAGTACAGGGACTCACTGAACAGGTTGGTAAGGGGTTCTTAAAGCAAACATCCACAGAGATTTCCATTGAACAATCCATACTTTAAAAGCCCGGACAGCTGCTGGCCCCATCTACATGGTACAGTACACATGCCTGGGAATACTCCCCATCAACAGCAGCCAGCTGGCAGAGCACAGCAATGTCCTCACCACTTTGCCCTAAACCTCCAGAGCAGGGGGACCATATGCAAACTGCCTGCTGGCAGTGGTGACAGCCTGTGCTAACCCCTGCCAGCCCCACAAATTATCTGAGAGAGTCCCCACGGAGCAGAGCCAAAGCTGTGCCAGGGCCTGCACTAGAGAATGAGGATTACAGGCGACCGATTTCACTGCCTGCGCACGCTCCCCAGTCCTGGTTTCCTCGCTGGGATGGGCATAGCCCACATGTCAGGCAGGTATTGTACTTTTCCCTTCACTAGCTGTGAACTCCATTGCTGGGGGCTCGCTTCATTCTCAGCACAAAACACGATGATACTTGCATAGGCTGCCCTAAGCTTTCCTCTCCAGAACAGCAATGACCTGACCACGTGGAGGTCTCACCAGGATGGTCTAATTTGGGGGAGGATTACTGCAGAGACTGAGGATCGGTTCTGGGAGTACTTCAGAGGACAAACTATTTTCTCCCAGTTTTGTACGAAGTTCTTCTATTCATGTAACAACCTGATTTTGACAGTTTGTGTCAGAAAAAAATCAGTGTTTCATGGAAAATCAACCCTGTAATTACAGATATACCCACTGTCCCTCAAATGTGCATAAGGGCCTAAAGTTACACGTGTGTTTACATATACATGTCTACACATATATAATATGTGCATGTTTAAAATACATAGTATAAAACATAAAGTAGATAATATACCAAACCCTCATCTTGCCTAACTGACCTTTAGGAAGACTAGGGGAGAAAATTTCCAGAGATACTCACATAGCAAATGAAATCATTGCCCCACTGAAAGCCACCGAGTCAGATTTTCCAAACTATTTCAGTGTCTAAAGATGCCGACAGACACCTACTGCAATTCCGCAAAAGTATCTAGGCAAAGTGTATACTGAATTCATCTCAAGTCCACCAAGAGTCAGAAAACACCAAAGAAAACTAGTTGTGAAGATTTCTCTGAATCCCTACAGCAGAATCACTTTGATTATTTTGAAAATTTAACCCAGAATAATTAAGTGGAATAGTTACAATTAAATTTAAAATCTTAAAATAATAGCATTTGCAGGAGAGTTTGGATAGCAGACAAAGAGAGTCTCAAACCAAATATAGACACAGTATGCAGCAATAAATATTATCTTATTTAAATATGGGGGTAAGAAAAATACAGACTATAACATAAAAGCAAGAAAAAAATTTTGTTGGGTATATTTGAGAGAAGTAACTTGAAAGTAAAAATTACTATTAATCCTTAAAGCTGGTATCCAACCTTGACTTGGTTATGATAAAATACAAGGGCACAGCATACTTGGCTTTTCTTGTTGGGTTCAATTTTAACTTAACTTTCTGCAACTGAGCAAGATCAGATGGTCTGAAGTTGCCAGTGCTGGATACCAAGGCAGCATGATCCCTGTTTCTGTGCTGTGTACAGTAACAGTGCCTAAACATAATGGATTAACAGCATGTTCAGTGACTGTTGGAAAACAAGCAATATTATTTACAACCGTAACGAGGCTCAGCAAACATCCAGCTAAATAGAAGGAAATAATTCTCACTTCACTAGAACACTTAGCACAATGGGGTGCACAGATTGACTTCTAATTTTCTTCATATTTAGCAAATCAGGGAAATGCAAGCCTAGTCTGAGCGCAGATCTCATCATGGCATCCCTTCTGAAGCTGACGCCGAAGACTAGATGTTACACACGGCAGCTGAATTTATTTTAAAATGCAAGACTAGTCTCCTACGAGCCATCAGTCTGCTGCTCTGAAGAAAAGAATGAGAGAGTGAAGATCTGCGGATGACTTTTTTTGCAGATGTAATTAGGGTACACTTGTGATCTTTGCGCTACGCCACTCCAGGTCACCCCCGTACTCATGTGAACTACCAGGCACAGGCTCAAGCGGCTGTTATGCACACCAGTTACAACCGCCCGTGCTAAATTCCTACAACAAAACTAGATCCTTTCTATAAAATAGCAAGTTGGTCTTATTCCCCCATGCACACCAAATGCCCACGGACCAGAAGCACTAAATGACCCGTTTGACCATTCCGCAGTTTTCAGTAAATGGTGCTGTAGTAAGGACCAGAAATGTTAATAAAATTTTAAAAAGATCATCCTTCCCTCCATTAGCATCCTTCCCTTCCTTTAACAAATTTCATCCTTCCCTCCATTACTCTATTATGAGAGAGAAAATGGCTGACATACCCCATGGCGGTGTTCATAGTAAGCCAGCTTGGATTTTGTTAAGACAAAGAAGCGCACTTTGAAGTTGGAGGGTGAAGTCCTTCTCTTCTGCTGGGATTTTTTGATCAGCAGTTCCTCCAGGAGCACGCAGTTATTCATGGCTGAGCCAAAAATAGTCGTCTCCCAGGACATGGGATGTCTGCCCTATGTGCTGAGCGCCCGTCCAATAAAGAGACACAAGAAGGAAGACAGTTAATTTAAAAAAAAAGAAGAAAAAGGTGTTCAAAAGGCAGCGTAGGTGCTTTGAGCTTTATCTTCCCATCTACAGCAAAGCTTCCTTTCTGTCAAACCATAACCACATCCTCTCTGAAGTCATAAAACGAACAGCACATGTTGAAATATACGCTAAGGTAAATGTTGTGGAAAAAATAACACTTGAGGGACATTCAGTAGATGTGAGTCAATGATTAGAGATTAATTAAAAAAGAGGTGTGGCATGATTAAGCATCTGTCTCCTACTCGCCCATTTAGTAAATACAGTTACAAATGCACACACTGAACGTGGATGTATAGGATGAGTGTCTCTCCTGTCCTTTCAGAAGTAGGTCATGCATCCTTACTTCTTTTTCAAGGCAATGGTGCCTTCCCCTTTGGAGTATTTAACAGTTGACTGTGTGTCTCAAAGATTTCATACAACGTATTTTGAGGAAGTTTCCCACATAACACGGAAGTTCCTACTATATAAGCAAAGAAAATGATATCCAGAATATACTTGTATGAAGAATGATAAATATTTGTAGTCGTTAGGTATTTAAAATGAAAACAAATGGTTACAATAATGGATAACTAATTAATTATCACTGGTTACTATTTACTGATTACTGACGGCTTCAGGTGCAGTCTAATGAGTCTGTGGCTGGATGTTCCAGGAGGCACAGGCACAACGTGCCCTCTGCGGATGCAATCAAGACCAGCGTAATCAGCAGTGAAGCGAGCACAAACATCAAACCGAGCAAAACTGGCTTCTTCAGCACCTCAGGGCACCATTCAGGGCAGGCGGCACCAGGCTAAATACAGAAATATATTAAAAAAAAAAGTACCTAATGTGCTCGGTACAACAGCAGTGGTATATTTGAAAATGCAATTTATTTTTCTCTGCTCTTCCATTTTTAATATTTTGTTTATTTTTTATTAGTGATGTATAAGTGCATTGCTGATGCTATAAA